ACCAGGAGCCTTCTGTGGTGAAGAAGATAAAGGAGCTGTGGCTGTAAGTGTGGGGCTGAGAGGTGTATCCAGACACCCTGATGAGAGCATACAGGCTTGGGCTTGGGGTTAGGGCAGGCTGGCAAGGGCCGGTAGTGTGGTGGCAGCTCCTGATTCACCTGTGACTCCCTGCCCCAAATTGTGACAGAGCTGAGCAGACCATGAAAAATGAGATCCTGGTGACACAGAGGGCTCTTCATCCCCAGCCCCTTCCTCTGAGCTGGGAGGAAACACCCATGGGGAGCTTGTTCCTGCCAGTGGTGGGCAGCACAGCTGGGTGGGTGAGCCCTGCACAGCTCATTCCTCCCTCCACCCTTGGAGACCCAACTCTGGAGATACTCGGGGCCCTCCATCAGTCCATCTCCAGGAGTGAGGCTCCCTGATGTCTATCCCTGGGATCCCAGCACCCAGTGGGGGATCCACAACTTTCACAAGCCTCTTCTGCCAAGCCAGGGTGCTTGATCTATGACCGAGAGCTGCATGTGACCCATCCCTAACTTGGCTTTGTCTTCTCCTTGGTCATTACAGGAAGAATCCTGCTGTGAAGAATGCTTCCAGCTCAGGTAAAGAGTTGTGGGGGACACACGATGCTCTGGCTGCCTCGTAGAGTCGCTGGGTTTCCTCAGCTTTGGTGTGTGTTAGGCAGAGGTAGCACAAGTATGGTCAGATCTCACAAGGATATGTTGCTAAACCCAAAGCAGGATGAGGCAGTGCTGATAGCTGAAGCAGTATGGGACATGGCATGCTGTGTTCATGCTGCTGGCCCAGGAAGTGTGGACAAAGGAAAGAGAGTTTCTAGAAGCAAAGGAAGTGCAGAATTTTTGATATTTCCACAGATTTCAGTGCACACAACAGTCATGCAGCCAAGTAAAAGCGTTTGCAAGTGGGGCTTGCCAGAGTTCAGCTGTCTGCTCCACACATGTCTCTGTGTTCTTGCTTCAGACCCCTCCATCTCTCAGCTGATCGATGCCATAGGACAGAACCAGCTGGAGATTTTGAAGGAAAATGCTGAGGAATGCTTGGATTTACAGATGCCCAAGGAGAAGACGGTGACGGTGACGGACGAGGTTCCTGTCACCGAGTGGGAGGCAGAGCGCAAGAAAGAGGTCAGTCTGGCTTCTGGGAGCAGCTGAGGCGGGGCTGCAGCAGCTCATGGTGCTCTGGGGGGGTGGGAGAAGGAAGGGGAAGGGCGGTGGGCAGAGCTGGAGTTTGGCTGGGGAGGGAGATGGTGTTCGGCTGGCAGGTACAGGTGGGCTCCTGCACCCGGAGAGGGAAAACCACATAACATGTCTCATTTCAGCAGGATCAGGATGTTTTCATGGTCCCAGTCAACACCCTGGTGATCCCTCCTGAGGAGGAGGAAGTTGCTTGTGATTCTTCCAAGACAGGTCAGTGCAGTGTCTGCATCTGCAGGGTACCCAGGTGGGCAGTGCAGCGCCCAGCCATAGGAAACGAGGGGCTCCCTGGAGTGGGGAGGACAGTTCCTTTGCTCTAGCTGTGCCACGTGCTGGGATGCGACCAACAGTGCCCCTTTCATTGCAGATACAAACAAAACAACTGCTGGGAAGAGTAGTGATGACAGGACAGTGCCAGGGGATCCAAGTGTTGTATCCCAAGCCAGCCGTGAGTAGCGGGTCCTCCAGATCCCAGAATGGTTTGTGTTGGAAGGGATGTTAAAGACTGTCTAGTTCCAGTCCCCTGCCATGGGTAGGGACACTAGACCAGATTGCTCCAAACCCTGTCCAACCTGATCTTGAACACTTCCAGGGATGGGGCAGCCACAGCTTCTCTGGGCAGCCTATGCCAAGGCCTCCCCACCCTCACAGGGAAGAATTTCTTCTAACCCTGTCCTCTGTCAGTTTGAAGCCATTCCCTCTTGTCCTGTAAATCCATGCCTTTGTCAGAAGTTCTTCTCCATCCCTCTTGGAGCATCTTTAGGTACTAGAAGGTGCTCTGAATTCTGCCTGTAGCCTTCTATGCTCTAGGCTGAATAACTCCAACTTTCTTAGCCTGTCTTCATAGCAGAGGTGCTCCAACCCTTGGATCATCCTTGTGGCCTCCTCTGGACTTGCTCCAGATCCCATCCAGCCTCTTATTAGTTTCCTGTGCAGTTGGCTCAACCCCCTTCCTTGGAATGAGCAGAGGAGGTACCAGCATGGCCAGGTCTTTGGGAGACCTTGAGCAGGCAGGAAGTGGTTCTGTTTCTGCAGCCTCCTGAAGCTGAGCAGCTTTAGTTCATTATGCTGGGAACACAAGTAATTTTGTCCCTTTGATGCCAGCACAGAGCCTGAGTCTCCTGCCCAAGTGTAGGCTCCTTACTGACTCTGTTTCAGCACCAGGATGGGTTTGTGTCACCTCACTGAGCTTGGTGTCACAAAGCTTTGCTGCACAAGTACCTGCAGAAGCTCCATGTAGAGAAGGAGGTGAAGGGAGATGCTGTCCTGGATAGTGCAGGGTGTAGGAGAAGGTCTTCCTCTCACTGCCTGCTCTTTGGGCAGTGTCTGCCTCTCCACTGCCTGCTGGCTGGGTTCTTGGAATACACCCCATTTTGGGCTGGAAAGGGTTTCAGAACTCCTCTTGAGAGCTGACTCTGTCTGAGACTTTGTGCAGAGGGTTGGAAGTGGGCAGCTGCTTTCTTTGCCAGAGTCAACCCTCCAGCCTCTTCCTTGCAGATGCTGAGTCACTGGCCTTGTCTGATAGCTTGGAGGGATCCCTGGACAACCCCTGGAACAGGATCCCCCCATTGTCTTTGACCCCGAGCTCTTCAGATGGTGAGTCCCCATGTCCCAGGGCATCCAGCCTGCCTTGCTGGCAGGAGACAACTCCTTTCTTCTCATTGGGTGTAGCTTATTCTGGATGCTGGCTTGATTTTCCCTGGCCAAAATTAGTGCTTGATCTGCAACCAAGAGCTGCATGTGCCCCAACTCTAGCCTGGCTTTGTTCCCATTGCCCTGTGCCTGCATCATTCCAGCTCTGACACTCCAGCCCACACTGACATGCTGGGGCAGGTCCCACCACCAGCCCCCTGCCCAAACTGATGATGTGTTTCCTCTTACCAGAGAAGACCATTCAACCTGACGCTTCCATGAAGACCCAGAAAGATGTGTCTGCTGACAGCAACACCCCCGACCTGCTGGAACTGTGTAGCCAGGACTCTCCCAAGAGATTGCCACAGGGAGAGCCAGTACAGACTTTCTCTCCCTCCCTGCTCTGCTCCTACAGCAATCCCAGTCCACTGAAGACCAGCACCAGCCAGGCAGCATCAGCTTTGGGGGCAGCCTGTGGTGCCCCCTGCACTGCTCAAGGCCCGCAGGGATCAAGGGGCTCTCAGGCCCCCCTGCCAACTCTTTCTCCAGATTTCCCTGTCTTGCCCAGCACCAGCTTGCAATCCATGCCCAACAGGATGCCTCATGGGGAACAGGCGTGCTCCAGTGGCACAGCTTTCCCTCCAGATGCGTTGAAGCCTTGTCCAGTTCCTGCCAGGACACGGAACGGAGCGGGTGCCAAGAGGAAGTTGGTGGTGGGAGATGACCAGGCACTGCTGGCCCCCGGCGGGCAGCAGCATCCCCAGGGCACCCCAAGGGGCAGGGGGACAGGCACAGGCAGGAGATCAGAGCTCAGGAGCCCACGGCGTGCAAAGAAGAGCAGAAAGGAGACGGGGCTGCAACATGGAAAGGAGCTTGAGGAGGAAGAGGAGGAGGAGGAGGAGGAGGAAGAAGAGCAAGGGTCGTCCTCTGCGAGCGGCCCCAGCTCCAGGCCGGAGCAGCGCAGAACTCTGGAGCCGGTAGATATGAAGCAGCTGGTGGGGTCCTTGGGGCCTGGGGGGGTCTCTGGGGAGGTTCTCTGTGCCCACACCCCTCATGTCCATTTGCAACATCTTTCCTCACCGGCCCGTGGGGATGGGAAGTTTAAAGTAGGTGTCAGTGTAGATGGTGAAGGATCTGGGAACACCGTGGGAATTGTAATCATTTAGGCTGGAAAAGACCTTGTGAGACTAACTGTTCCCTCAGCACTGCCACGCCCACCACTGAACCGTGGCCTCAAGTGCCACATCCACATGCCTTTAAATCCCTCCAGGGATGGTGAAGATGTGGTTGAGCCCGAGCTGTGTGGGAACTATCAATTTCTGGAGCATCTTCCAAGATATCTGGGTAAAATAAGATCAAAAGAGCAAGAAACAATTGAGAGAGACACTCCAGAGTTTTCCTAAGGGTATTGGGCTCTCAGGGCTGTGCGTCTGGGGCAGACCCATCTCACCCTCCCCTTTGCTTTTGCAGTACGTGAGGAAACCAGCCCAGTACAAATATGAGGCACCAAGCCCCGAGCTCTGCCAGGAGATACAGTCTATCAGGTCAGTGCAGCCATGGAGTCTTGTGGATGTCCCTTGTCCCTGCTGTGGGATGTGAGCATCACTGCTTGCATCCCTACAGCAAGTTCCCAACCTCTGCCTTACCCCTCCTCTCTGGCTGCCCCCACGCCGTGTCTGCAGCCGAGTTCCCCTCTCACCTCAGCTCCTCCTGTCTGTTTTCACAGGATCTCCAAGGCAATGCTGAAGTGGGCATGCTGGATACTAACAGAGGAGGAGGAGGATTCCTGAGCCTAGCCCGCTCTTCACTCCGTCCTTCTTTCACCGTATCCTCCAAAACACTGGGAAGAGCAGTTGGGGGGGATGTAGGGACACCAGGACCCCTGTGCCCAAGAGGACCACTGAGTGGGCTGACCTAGCTACAGAGACCTTGGCCCAGGGATGCTGGGATATAACCTGTTGAAAGCCAGCACCCTCGGTGCCAAGAGGGGGAAAAAAGCATCCATGCAGGAATGCCTGCATGTGAGCTGGCATCCCTCTCCCACCTTGCCATCCTTTCCAAATGCCTTGGCATCTGGGGACAAGGGGTGACCCAGTGCCACTGTAGCAGCAATGGCAGAGGCCTGACAACCTGATCCCCTCTCCGAAGGTGCCCCAGGAGTTCGGATGTTTTATTGATTAGTTTGGGTAGGGTCCTGCATCATTTGTTACAAAAAATATCCCGCAGGGTTATGCTGTAGAAATTAAAAATAAAAATTGTATATTTTTTGAATACACAGCTCTTGTATTAAAAAAAAAAAAAAAAAAAAAAAGAAATAAAAACCAAACCAAAACAAGCATCTTGCTTTGTCGTAAACATCTGTGTAAGGAATGCGTTTGGTCCGGAGCGAAGGGCAACACAGGAGAAAGCCACTGGGGTGTCGGGATCGCGCTGGTGCCGTCGGGGATCTGCGGGGCTGGAGCTGCGTGCTGGAATGCTGGGGGTCGTGGTCCCGCCGATGGAAGCCTGCGTCTTGCGGGGGCTGGAGAGAGCGGCACCCCACGGGGCGAGGAGCTGGAGTGGTGAAAGCGCCTTGGGAACACTTCCTAAAAATAGCTGGCTGCCGAAAAATCACCGGCTCTCCCCCCTGCAGCCCACAGCGGCAGCGGGCACCACGACACCGCTCGACGCGTCCTGCAGGCTCTGGCACGGTCCCTGGGCATCCTGGGCGATGCTGGTGGCCTGGCTTGTCCCCGTGGCACAAGTTGGGCGATGCCATCGTTGGCACATCCACGCCAGCCTGGTGCCCCGTCTCTCCGCACCCCAGCTGCCAAGCACCCCGGCACCGTGCACTTGCTTGCAGGGTTTTATTGGGAACAGTGTGGTGACATGCAGGGGCTTCACTGTCCCAGGGCCGGCTCCTCCCGGCCCGGCACCGGGCGTCTTTGGTCTACGGCAGCTGAGTCTTGTGCATTCCCAACAGTTTGTGCCAGGGCTTGCGGCCGCTCGCCGTCAGTGCCTGTGCCAGCCTGCGGCTCCTCCAGCCCGGCACGGGGCCAGTCCTGCGGCGTGGCACCTGGAGAGGTCACAGCTGTGAGCATGGCGGGACCCTCCGTACCCCAGAGCCTGCTTTAGCATCGTGTCTCACCTTCAGCATCCAAGGACGGTCCAGGCTCACCCTCAATCTCTGAGAGGGACTCGTGCTTGGTCCTGTGCCTGAGCACAGGCGACCGCCGCAGGCGCAGGGGAACGGTGCCCACTGGGGAAACACAACCCAGCCCCATGTTGCAGTGGGGTGCAGCAGCCTGGCTCCTGCCAGAACTGATCTCATTGCCAAGTTCCCCTTGGGCACTTCCCAGTGTGGTCGTGTCATTGTCTATCACCTTGGCACCACAGGCTGCCACCCATCAGCCGGGACAGGGAGCACCACCACCCCTGTGGAATGCCACCACCCACCTCTGCTGGCATTGGATGCAAGGGGGGTTTTGAGGTCCCAGTACAGTCCCAACTTACTTCCCAGCTCTGCCGGACACTCGGGCTCCCTGAGCTGCTCCTCGTGGACGGACAGAGCTCGGCGGCTGGTCCCCCGTGGCGCTGCCAGCCGTGCCATCAGCCGGTTGTCTGGAAAAGGGGAGAGATGCCATTGTGGGGGAGCCTGCAGCACCCCGGCTTCCTCACAGCCCCCATCAGCACCCAGTACTGGTTGCTTGGCTCCCCGCTGCCCTGGCTTCCCAAGGGCTCCAAGAACAGGCCAGCAGTGGGATGGGGAACCCCCATGGGCAGCTCATGCATCCATCCCTACCTTCGGTGTCGGGCGGTGCGGGCGGGGTGGGCAGGGGGCTGCCAGCACCCACCTCCCCACCATGGCTGACCCTCCGCGGCAGCGCCGCCGGCACGTTCCTGCCCAGCCGTGGGAGGCTGCTGCTCCAGCCCTCCCGGCCCCCGGGCTCCAGCAGCCCGCTGGGCTCAGACAGGATGAAGGAGCGCCGGGGCTGGTCGCAGCTGGTGCCCAGTGGCTCAGCAGGCAGCTGCCTCCCCAGGGCTTTCCAGGCTGGCCGGGGCTCGGCGCTGGGCTCCATCACAGCGGCTGGGCTGCGGAAGGGTGCGTCTGTGGGGTAGGCAGGAGGGAGCTGTGAGTGTCCAGAAGTGTAGGCTGGTGCTGGGAACCAGCCTGCAGCCAGCCCAGGGGCTGGGCAATGGGCTGGGTGTCCATCCACCATCACCAGGGATGGGCACCCATGGGTGCAGGGCACCCTCTGGAGGGTAGGACCCTGCTCAGGTGCCTGTGCCCACCAGTCCCTCTTGGCTCCAATCTCCATGCTTGGTGCTAGGAGAGATAACAAAGCCTTCTGCCCTGGGGGATGGTGAGACCCCCCTGGTACCCACTGGTAACCCACCTGTGGACACAGAGTGTGTGCGGGCCTTCAGAGATGGGGGGGAGTCCGCAGAGCTGTCCACGATATCCCCTGCAAGCACAAGCCACCAGCGAGTATCAGTGAGCTGGGGCCTGCCCTATGCCACCAGCACCCAGCGAGGGCAGGATGTAGTGGGACCCACAGCTGGGAGCCCAAGAGGGCCAGCCCATGCCCACCCATGGGTGCCCAGCTGGGTGGGGGTCAGGGTGGGGAGGGTGCAGCCCCTCACCATCTGAGCCGGCTTTCTTGATCTCGCTGTCTTTGTTCTGCAAGGGGAAAGAAACCTTGTAAGGGGGATGTCAGGGTGGCAGCACCCACAGGGCTGATGGCTGGCAGAGGGCAGGGTGCTGCCAGGCTCTGGGGTGGCTGCAAGGGGTGAGTGCATGCCAGAGAAGGAGGGACAGACAGACAGACACCACACAGCGCGTAGGAACCCACATATCAGTCCCCTTGCAGAGGGTTAGGTGACAGGGCAGAGGCCATGAGCAGTGGCAGCACAGAGCTGCCACCCCCCTCATCCCATGGGCCACCATCTCCACCCACCCTGGGGGTGCAGGATCCATCCTGAAAATGGAGCCACTCCCCACCTGCAGCTTCTTGCTCTCAGCAGCCGGGCCCTTGGTGACGCCGATGCGGTGGAGCATGACCTGCACACGCTGCTCGAAGGAGCTGGACAGCTCCCCCTCGCTCTTCTCCAGGTGCCTCTTCTGCAGGGGAGAGACAGCCCTGCCAGGGACACAGACCCGCCACAGCACCTACAGCACCCACCTGCCTGCCTGGGGAGCACCCAGGTCCCCAACCCCAAGTGTGCCACTGGGAGATGGTGACACGGACATGATCTAGTGGGGACATCCCCAGCCATTGCTCTGGTGTCCCTGCATTCCCTGGTGACCCCATCACCAGCATCCATAGGTGGGAGCAGCACACACTGGGAGAGCCAACCAGCAGTGGTGGCTCAGTGACCGTGACAGTGCTTACCTTGTCATGCCTGACCCCCAGCGCATCCTCGTCCTCCCCGGACAGCAAGATGAGTGACTGGGATTTGCCCTCCCGAGAGTACTTGGGCCGGATCCTTCGGGCAGAGTCGGGGGTCTGGCAGTGCTCAGGCTCTCCCTGGGGCTCAGCAGCGAGTCCCCCCTCCTCCGATTTACTCAGTGGCTTCCCCGCCTCACCCGCCTTGCTGGGGGCTCGTAAAATGTCACTGAGCATTGAGCGCCTGCTCCTGGGGGCAGTGGGACCACCCTCGGGCTCCTTCTCACACCTCGAGCCCCGGCTGGATTTGGGTTTCTTGAAGGCAAAAAAATTCCCGATTTTCTTCTTGAGGGTGCGGGAGCCGGAGGGAGCCAGAGGGGCTGATCCTGGGCAGGTCTCTGGAGCCGCAGGGCTAGGGAGAGATGAAGCATTGGGAAAGGTGAGCTCCAGGCTGCTGAGGGACAAGGGATCAGCTTCTTACCCCCCCACACCTCAACAGGATGGATCCAGAGACCCTGGACACCCCACCTGAGATGACAGTATCCTGCCAAGGGCACCCATTCCCAGTGAGGGCTCCCATGGGTGCTGCCTCATTGCCTCCCCAGTGCAGGACAGACCCCATGGCCACATCCTGCACCCTGTGGCTGCTATCCCAGTCCTCCCCCCCCAGCCTTGCCCTGGGCAATGCCCCCGGGTGTGCTGCTTTCCTCAGCATCCCTTTGGCACTGGGACCAGCAGCGTTTGCAGGGGCGGCTGCTGAAATCCCAGGGATGGGTGCGTGCCAGGGCGCTGGGCAGGTGAGGGGCCCTGGGATCCCCCCAGGCTTACGGCAGTGCTTCTGTGATGAGCCTCTTGGCAAAGAAGTCCTCCAGCCCCTCGTCCACACGGGTGATGCTCCTGTCCTCGCTGTTCTCGCAGGCCACGGGCTGTACCTGTGAGCAACCACGGCTGTGAGCCCAGCGTGGGGCAAAGGTTCCCCAGGCACAAAGAGGTGTCACCCACGCCTGTGCACAAACAAGTGGGTGCCTGCACAGGACAGGTGCTCCATCTCGTACTCAGCATGAAAGCCAGATCACAGTGTTATCAGTTGCATCCCAGCTCTAATCCTGCTGCATCCCTTGAACATTGGGAGGCTCCAGCCAGTCCCAGGCTCCTGCCAGCCCCTCGCCCCCCTGGGTGCCACATGTTGGGCTCCCCAGCACAGTGGCTGGGTATGGCACCCATACTTGCTCAGGCACACTTGTGTTACACCCAGGTCAGGTGCTTCTGACCCTCCTGGTTAACACACAATGGCAAATCCTGCCAAAGCCTTCCTAGAGCTGGGCCAGGCCTCTGACCCTGCTGGCTCTGTGGGAGAAGCCTTTGGCAGAGATGCTTCCTCCATTTGAGCTCCAAGGAGGGGACCCCACACTGCCGGTGGGTGATGAAGCAGGTGACCTGCAGGGGTCCCACATCTGTATCCTTCAGATGCTAACTCTCCAGCCTTGGAGCGTCACCACAGCCTGCATGAAGGCCACCCAGTCCATCCCCATGGCCAAATGGTCCACGCCATGGCCAAGCCTTCCTCCACGGCACCTTCCTCTCCCTGGCATGTGGCACCGCATCAGTGGCTTCCTATTGATGAGAGGGAGGTGCTTCCCCACCGGTGACATTTCAATCCATAACGACTTTTCATTACAGCTGGATTGATGCCGTTCAGGAGCCGTTCCAGCCATCTGAGATCTGCTCTCCCTGTCACATCACATCCATCAAAGCCTGTCCTTGCTCAAGCCTTGGCCCACCCTGGGTGCCAGGCGTGCCTGTCCCACTGCAGGGTGATGGTCCCCTGGCCCTGCCAGCCTCCAGCACCCACCCTGCCTGTGGGACACAGCTCCTGCCTCTCCTCCGGCCCCGCGCCAGTGCTGATCCCACTGCGATCCAAGGGCAAGCATCACTGTGGCCATGCAAGCTGGGGCTTTCCAGCAGGTGAAAGGATCCAGCTGCATCACGGTGGCGTGGGAACAAGGTGATGCCAGCAGGATCCAGCCCCAGGGACAGCAACGGAGCTGGACTTACCACCGACTGCACCCAAAAGTTACTTTTCCTTTGGGAAAGGGGGTGCAAAGGCAGGATCCCCATCCACTCGCCTGTTGGATGGGGGGCAAAGCAAAACCCACCCCACCACAGCTGGCAGAGCCCCACCAGCATCACTGGGAGCCGTGGCGGCCACCGGTGCTTCAGGGACGATGGGGTTTGGATGAGGGGGAGCAAACTGAGCGCAGGAGGAGGGAGGCAGCCGGAGCCATTGCCGAACGCATCGCCGGCCCTCTGCGCCCAAACTCTGCGGGTTTTTTCATTCCTCCCTGCCTCCTTGCCGGCTCCCACCGCTCAGCAGGAAAGGGGATGGATGATCCCCCTCGCCCCCCCCAAGCCCCCTTGCCCATCCTTTGGGGCAGCCCCCCTCCGAGGAGGAGGCTCCGGCAGCAGCTGAAATGCAGGATAATAAACCCACCGCGCCCCCTCGCATCTCATTTTCCTGCCTTGCAACAAATACTGACCGCAATAATTCATCCAAGCGGGAAAAAAACGGGAAAAACACACCAAACACACACCACCACCCCCCTTGCCAGCCGCGCCCCCCCCTTACATTGGGCTTGCTGGGCGGCTGCTTGTGCCGGCGGTTGGGCCGGGGCCTGGCTTTGGTGCAATGCTCCAGCTTCTCGCCGGCGGTCGGCAGGTCCATAAGGAATCCGGTGGCGGTGGCGGGCTGCGTGGCGGGGAGCGAGCCGCTCGCAGGCTCAGCATCCTTTGTGCAGGCAGGGCGTGCCGGCGGCGCGGCGGGGCTGAGTGACGGCGGCGCCCGGTGAGCTCGGAGCCCGCTGGCGTCTCGACCCGCCGCCGGCTCCAGCTCCGACACACCTACGAGAGGCGAGAGGGTCCTTGTTGACGCCCGGCCTCGGCAGGCCTCCCCATCATCATCATCATCATCATCATCACCGACGCCGTCACCTTCGCCCACGCGCGGAGGGTCAGCGGGGCGCTGGCTCCGCCGCGGGGAGGGGAGCGTGGCCGTGCCCGCCGGGAGCGCGCGTGGCGGCTTTGCGGCGCAGCCCGGGATGGATCCTGCCACCGTCGCTGGAGGTTGGCGTGCAGGGAATGCTGGGGGGGATGTGGGGAGATGCTCGGGCAGGGACGGAGCAGAGCCCCGTAGCCAAAACCTGCGGCAGGCAGCAGTGATGTGGAACGAGCTCTGCCAGCGCTGGCCCGAGGAGCAGCACCCACAAACACACCCGTTTTGCCCTGCAGGCAGCTCCTCACCACCACCACCCCCCCACCGTGTGTTCCCTAGGTTGGGGGTCAGGATGCTGTGGGGCTCAGGGACACCAGCAGTCACCTGGGGACACTGGGGTGCTGGGCAGTGGAGTCTGGCACAAGCTCTGCTTTAGCCAAGGCACTGAAAAGCAGAAGTTGCCCATCAGCTGCTCATTGCCTGTGCCCCTCCTGTGCCCTCCTTCCTTTCCTAGGCACGCAGGGCTCTAGGGGCAACACCAGCAGCAAGGGGAACCCGTGGACAATGTCTTCTCCCCAGGTTTGTTGGGTGAGTGGATGGGTGGGCGATGCCCATGCCCAGGGTGGTCCCTGGGATGGCTATGGGAGATGCCATGGCTTCCACAGTCACAGACAAACCTCCCACCCCTGCCTGGCTACGTGAGGAGAGAGTTCAGGGCATTCACCCCACCACCCAAGGGCACTGAGCCAGCTGACCTCCCCAAACCAGCACAAGAGCAAGGTCAGGGTGAGCTTTCCCCACAGACCCCCACCACAGCACTGGGAGAGGCTCTCCAAAGGGTCCAGCTCCTGCTGACCACAGCCTGTGGCATCACCATGGAGGGCTCTGCCCACCAGCCCCCCAAACAGCTGCTGCAAGCCCCCCGCCCCTGCCGTGCCCCAGCTGAGCCGCAGCAGGGGGACAGTTCCACAGTGACCTTACTTCTCACACTTGGCGTGGGCCGAATGCTCCTGAAGTGCTTGTTTTTCCTCCGCAGGGCCATCTTGTACTGCAGGGAGACAGGGATGGTGGCGGCTTCGGCGTGGACAAGCTGGCTGTGCTGAGTGGCATCCTGTGGCAGCAGGAGCCAGCCAGGCTTTGCCAGGTGATGGGTGCAATCCCCCCATCACCCCCAGACCCACAGCACTGCACCCCCTGATCCTGTCCCAGCTCCAAAACCCCCCATGACGCTGGATTGAATACTTCCCCATCCAGGACCCTGCAGCACACTGGATCCCAGAGCAACAACAGCGGGAGAGGGTGCAAACAGCAGGACCAGCTGGGCCACCACAAGGACAAACTCCCGGTGCCAGCAGCATGGCCTGGCAGGCTAATGGTCCCATTTCTCAGCACTAATTGCCTTAGCACTGCCCTGGGGGGGTGCCGGGGGGTGCCTGAACCCGGAGAGGCTCCGGTGCTAAGCCCGGCATCATCCGGTAAGGCGGATAAAAGGTGGTTATAGCGCGGGCATCACGCGGCAGCACTGGGTTTGGACCCTACCTCCTCTGCGGCGAGGTCCAGAGGATTCTTGCCCCTCGCCAGCGCGGTGGCATCGTCCTCAGCCGACTCCGGCAGCAGCACCAGGAGGTCGAGCCCCTGCTTGGAGAGGCTCTCTGCCTAAAACCATTAGGAAGCGCTTAAATTATCCCGGGGGCTGAAGCGCGCCCGGCTGCCCTGTGTGCTCCGTGCTGCTCCGCTCCCTACCCACGGCTGGGATTTGTGAGCGGATTTAGGCCTGATTAGCCGGCTGCCAGCCCCAGCACAGCTGCCCCGCGCCTGCCCCAGTGCACGAGTGGCCAGCGCCCGGCTTCACCCCAGCACCCCCCACCACACCACACGGCAGCAGCTCCAGGACTTTGCTCAGGGTGTTAATGTTGCTGTGACCACACCAGGAGAGGATTACCTGGCAGGAAAACCAGCCTGGGTGGAAACTGTCCTGCTTCTCAGACTGCAAATCTGTGGTGATAGTGTTGGCTGGTGCCCGGGCAATGCTGGGGTACCCCTATCCCACATCCCAGCACCACATCCCTATCCCGCAGGTGCTGGTGCCCCTGGCACTCACCAGTTTGCACTGGGCGATGGTCAGGTCTCCCAGCACAGCATCCACGATGCAGTCGGCCGCAGCGGCTGTGATGGACAGCTTGATTTCACTGGGAGCAGAAAGAGTGGTGTCAGGGCCAGCACCCACCCCCTGCAAGCCATGGAGCCAGTCCCCCCCAGGGAAAGCCTGCTGAGGAGATGGATGCTTGGCTGTGGCACCCAGGATATGCCCTGTGCTGTGGCTCACTGGGTTTGTGCTGCCAGAGCAGGAATGGCAACAGGGGCTGGCTGGGATGGAGGATGCCAAGTGCATTCCCACACTGATGGTTTGGGCTCCCCTCTGCCAGCCACAGGGGTGTGCCTGCAGGCACATCATCCCATAGAGCCCCCCAGCTTCCCAGGGACGCACGCAAACTAGACCCGAGCAGGAAGCAAAGCCACGGCTGGGAAACCACAGCAACAGGACCCAGCACATCACCACCACAATGTAGGGAGAGGGGAAGTTGGTAGGCAACCCCCAAAATCCTCCTCTGGCCCCATGAGTGAGTGACAGCTGCTGAGCCAGGAGGAAGAACGGCACATCACCCACTTCAGCTTGCTGAAGACATCGGTGACCATCTGGTCCAGGACGGCACTGAGGCTGAGGTGGTCCTGGAGGCAGATCCGCTCCGACATGGCATTGACCAGCTGATCCCTGACCCCGCTCTTCTGCACCACGTCTGGGCACAGGCTGTGCGCCGTGTCCAGCACCGCCTGCATGATCGCCTGCAGTTTGGGGGACAAAGGCGAGTTTTGGTGCCTTTCTGTCTCCATTCACGCGGTTTCCAGGAGGCACCATCTCCCTTATCCTTGGGCCAAGGCTGATGAATATCCCATGCTGCCCATGGATGCCCACCTGGATTTCCCAGCTGCAGGTCTGCGATGCTTCCTCCGTGAGACACTCCAGCTTGTGCTGCAGCTTGCCATTCTGGTATGGGGTGTTTCCTGCCTCATACAGGAGGGGTAGGATCTGCCATGGGAAGAGAGGTGGTATGGATCATCCCATACCACTTCATCTTTGCTTCCCATCCTTCCACGCTCAGCCAGCAGCTGTGACTGTGCCATGGAAGAGTATCACCTGCATCAGCTGGGCAGACCTAGAGACTTGGCTTTGCTGGGCCAGGGTGGGGCATCCTAGTCCCTCAGAGTCCCTGTGTCCCCCAGATGGACCCTGAACTGCTCCCCACCCCCCACTGACCCTCCCTCCCCTCCTGCACACCACTGCACTGCTGCCTGCATCAGCAGAGATGGTGTCCCATCCCTTTCACCACCTTTCCAACAACAGCACTGTCCTCTTAAGTTCTGTCTCCATCAGAATAAGTACCCAGGGGGGTGCCATGAGAGTTGGGAAAAAGGGAAAAGAGATGGTTTGAAGAGAAGTAGAGGAGGAGGAAAAGGTGCAATGGGGAGAGAGAAACAGGACCAAGAGAATCAAACCAGATCTGACAGGGCCAGGAGCTGCCCAGCCAGCATGGTGGATTTCATCGTGGGCTGATGGAGCACTCTCATCACTAGGGTGGGATGAGGGTGTCCCAGGAAAGACAACCCCTCAGGGATGCAGGGAGGTTTCTCACCAGTGTGGGCACCTCTGGGTTGCAGGGCGTGCCCAAAGCTGGAGCAGTCACCTCTCCAAAGGAGGGGTGTGCGAGCACGGGATGCAAAAGAGAGGGTGCACTTGTAACCTCTGCTTCCCGGGGGGGTGCACACAACTGTGTGCCTTTGGGGCGAGGGGACTGAGAGCATTTTGACCCTTGCTCTAGAAGGGAATTCAGAAATCCTCAGCTGTTTTCTAACATCTGCAGACGCTCGGTGACGTGCATCTGTTGTATCGACATTCTGGCGTTCCCTGACTGCTGGTTAATGATGTCATTAACTGATCAATGCCCTGCTTCAATCCCGAGCTGGTGCCGGGTGAGCCGAGGGGGTTTCCTGCGCGGGGCACTCACGCTGACGGAGAGGTTGGCGTTCCTGATGGCCTCCTCTGCACAGAGGACGTCCGCCTGCACCTCCCTGCCCGGGCAGGTGCTGAGGATGTCGACGTGCTTCTGCACGCTCAGGCAGATCTCATTCACCATCTGGAGCACAGAGAGGCTGCATCATGTGCCGGCACCAGAGCAGCACTGCCAGTTCCCTTCCCTGCCGTGGTGCTCCCAGAGAAAAGGCTGCTCGGTGGGTGCACTGGCAGGCTACAGCCCCCCAGAGCAACCCTGCCTAATAACCAGGGTTGCCACATGGCAGGGACTTGCTTGCAAGAGTGCACAGATTGCTGGGAACACGCTGTATGGGGTAGTGTAGCAGCAAGTTATCTCAGCATTGCATATGCATGAAATGCATGGATGCAACCAGGAGGATTCCTTGGAGATCTGCTTTCTGCCCAGCCCCATTCCCATCGTAGAACTGTGGAATGATTTGGGTTGGAAGGGATCTTAAAAGGCCATTTCGTTCCAACCCCTCTGCCATGGGCAGGGACACCTTCCACTAGGCCAGATTGCTCCAAGCCCCATCCAGCCCAGCCTTAAACACTTCCAGGGATGGGGCATCTCCCACCTCTCTGGGCAACCTGTTCCATCCCTCCAATCTGCTCTGTCCTCCACTCAGGAAAGGTGAAAAGGGGGTCGTGCTGCTTGCAAGAGCTCACTAGCAAGCCAGGGCCATTTGGGGCAGGGGAGAGCAGCCCCACGCAGCAACTGGGCCATCAAACCTGTTCAGAAGAGGTGGTGAGGATGCCCTGCTGCAGCCGGAAGGTCTGGGCCGGCAGCGTCTGCCGCAGCTGGTTCCTGGTCAGGCAGGACTGGAGCTGCAGAGGCAAGGGGCCATGAGCAGTGTGGGTGGCACCCAGCCCTGCACCCCTCAGCCCACATCCCCTCACCTTGTGCACGGCCTGCTCCGTCCTCTCGGGGTTGCTGCGATACGCCTGCGCCACGTCGCTCATCGGCAGCGGCATCGACTTGAGGGTGTAGTTCCTGTGAGGCAGCGTGGAGTGAGCAGGTGCTGCTGGACCCAGCGCTCATCCCCACCCTTCACGTCCCCACAGACATGACACAGGTCCAGAGCCCACCCAATGGCAGCCTGGACATTGTCCCAAGGTCCAGCCCTGGAGATAGGGATGGCCAAACTCTGGCCATCAGTAAACCCTGACAGGGAGGCAGTGACCACCTGCCCAGGCTCTCCATGCACCCCTCTTTCTTCAGACCTCCAGGGAACCTGCACAGCCAAGCACCAGACCTGAAGGTGGGTGTGCTCAGCAGGTGTCCTCAGCAGGAGGAGAGGAGCATCACATCAGCACCACCAGCAGATCCCCCCTGCCCTTGCTGGGGGCTCCGTGGGTGACACGAGGCTGTGCTGGTTGCTCAGGGAGACCCTGAGGTTGAAGGTGCCATCACGAAACAGTGGCAGGTTGGTTTGCTGGCTGCAAGGCCAGAGCTGTGGACTAACTCCCTTGGGACGTGTATGCAACCGTGTGATTACAGCTCCAAGGGGACAAGAGGCCCTGGGGACAGTGATATCCTGGTGACAGAGGCTCTTTTGCATGGCAGTAGCAAGCCAGGAGGACCAAGAAGCTCCTTCCTTACCTCTCCAAAGCTTGAGCCACCTCCAGGAGCCCGTGGGCAGTTGTGTTGTTCCTGTCCCAAACCACGGTCCTGCACAGAGAAGGACATGGGTGAGCCCTGCTGCACCCACACAGCCCTGAGGTAGGTGCCAGCAACAGCAAGCCCAAGGCTCAGAAAACCTGAAAGTGGGGTTAAAAATCTGAACTTAAACTTTCAAAATCCAAAGTGGGACTTTGCAAGGAGCTGTAAATTAGGCAGGAGGGAGTGAAAGGCTGGGAGGACACAGTCAGGTGCCATTCTGCTGGCAGGGGCAGATGTCCCCCAGAGGAACAGCCCTGGCCATGACACCCTTCCCTGTCCCCTGCAGACACCCCTGCCTTGGTTTTGTGGGCACAATGTGGTCAAAAAATAGTGTTTTAGGAACCAATAGCAGAGTATGTGGGAGGGCAGTGACTGCAAAGGTCTGTCTGCAGCACACCGGGCTGTGCAAGAGCCTGGCAAAGAGCTGGCAAGCGCTGAGGCAGGGACTGAGCTGCTCTCTTGGCCCTCACATGTTCCCTGCCAGTGCTTCTAGTGGCTGCCACGAGCACAACACGTGGCCACAGCATCTGACAGTGTGCCAGGAACTGTCCAGGACCATATCCACGGTCACCAGGAACCATGACAAGCCTCCTCTGATGGCACCAGCATCCTGCCCAGGACTGCCTGGCACAGGGCACCCACAGGGTGACATAGACCTGCTGCTACCTGAGCTTGGTGTTGATCTGCAGGGCCTTGGCGAGCATCTTGGCCCCCGTGTCCCCCATGGCGTTGCCGCTGATGTCCAGAGCGGTGAGGCTGGTGTTGCTGCCCAGGGCGCTCAGCAGCACGTTGGTTCCCAGTTTGAGGCGTGATTCAGCCACGGACAGAGACTGGAGAGGCTGGAAAGGGGACAAGAAGGGGGAGAGGTGCCCAGGGCACATGTCAGGGCACATGTCACCCTTGCAGACACAGCCTCCATCCCTGTCCAGAAGCCTCGGGGCTGGTGCTGGTTTTGGAGACACCAAGTGATGCTGCACCCCAAGAAACAGGAGGGCAATGGGTGCTTAGGCAACAGTCTGGATTTGGCTCAGATGCCTGACAGGCAGTGGGGAGAAAAGAGGGATTTTTTTTTTTGGAAAGCTGGGCTGCATCCAGGTTACACCAAGTGTCTCCTCCATGCCTTTAGCCAGACTCAGGCTCCAGCTTTCCCAGATGAACAGGAACAGCTCCCACTTCTCCGTCTGAGCATCTGCTTCAGACCGAGGAAAATAAAAGCAGAGGGGTTTGAATGGCAGTGGGAGGGAGGAAGGTTTGCTCCCAGACTGTGCCAGGAGGGATCTGGATGGCACCCTGGCATGGAGGTTGCACAGTGGTGGCAGAGGGTGACCAGGAGCACAGATGGGATGGTTGGGGTGGCTGAAGGCAAGCTGGACTTACACAGTCCTCCTCCTGGGTGAGCTGGACGATGCGGTGCAGGACATCCAACAGTCCTTCCCTGCAGGAGAGGCGGGGGGGGTTACATGTGCATCCCCAGGGCCACAGAGGCAGCTGGCAGAGCTCCATCCTCCCTCCCACTCCTGCCTGACACTACGACCCATCCCTGGGACTGCACCAGTTGCTGGCAATTGTTCCCCCACAGCCCCTGGCTCCATGTTGGGCTGGAGCAGCCAGGATGGGCAGGCAATTCCTACCAGCCCCTGGGCTTTCGATGGGGAGAGAGAGTCAAGGGGGGTGCACGGTACCAAGATGGCTCCTGGCCTGGGTGCTGCAGCTTTGCACCTACTTGGATTTGATGTTGAAGTTCTTCCCCAGAGAGACGTGCCTAATGGACTTGCTTCTGCCAATGGAGAGCACCAGTGTCACCATGTCAGGGTCAAAGCCTGCAAGAGATGGGAGACGCCCACCAGGATGCTCCAAGCAGTCCACAGAGGTGCCATCAAGGTGGTCCCTCACAGGAGACCTGCAGAGCCACCAGGCTTCCACCATGGGATGGTGGAGAGATGCTCAGGGAGTTCCTGAGCACCTTCCTCCCTTCCTGGCTCCCTCAAGGAGACTGAAGACCTGTGCACCGCCAGAGTCCCTGAGGAGTGAGGATCCCCAGGGAAGGAGCACCCTCTCTGGGCACTCCTGCTATTTGGGGTGCCAGTGCTGTTCTGAGCCATGGGAGCACTCAGGGAGCTGTAGGTGGCACTTACTTTCTGCCATTGCCCAGAGATGTGCCCTCCATCACCCACCCACCACCCCGGGCAGCATGGGGGGAATTCTCACACCTTGCAGGCAGCTGCCTGCACTCCCATCCTCATAGATGCACCATCCCCAGGGAAATCTGGTGAGATCCAGGAGATGGAGGAGATCTTCTCCCAGGCTGGGAAAAAGCAACCTACCATTGTCAGACAAGTCCAGGCTGCTGATGGAGCTGGCATCAGGGATGAGATCCTGGATGACCTGGGCCCCTGCTGATCTCAGCTTGGAAGAAACAGCAAGACATCAGTACAAGGGGAGGCACCAAGCCCTGCAAACAGGATCCTGCCATGGGGAAGCTCAGACAGGGCACAGACCTCCCCTAACTGCTGCAATAGGAGCCCCTGGCTGGGCTGCTGGCACCCATGGGTGCTGGCCCCTCACCTCACAGCTGCTAAGATCCAGGTGCAGGTCACTGATGTGGCTGTTGTCTGCCAGCCCTTGCAGCAACGCCCTGGAAAAGTCACCAAAGCCCCCATGGGTGCAACAAATGGGGGCAGCAGTACATGCTGTGGGGCACCCCCAAGGGTCCAGGCAGTGGGAGTGGGATGCTGGAGAAAACATCCTTCCCAGAGCTCTGCCTCCCACAGCCTCATCCACCCATCCTCCCCAACAGCCCTCAGTGAGGTCCCCCCTGGATTATGCTCACCCCAAATCCACTCCCCTGGGTGGACTCACAGCCCATCCTCACCTCACAACATCTGCAGGCAGCTTGGTACCTGCCAGGGAGACGTGTCTGAGGGCACAGGCCTGGCTGAAAAACTCCTTGACGTCAGGGGAGATGGTTTTCACCCTCCTGAAAAGGATGGGCACAACGTGGCATCATCTGTCACCCAGCACCAGCCACTCTCCCCTCACGCCATCCCAGGGCCTTACCTGTGGGAGTACAGGTTTTTGGAGAGATCCAGGTGGATGAGGCTGTTGTGGCACCCGTGGACCAGGGCTCCAAAGAGCTGCCAGGGTGGGGAGGCAGGTTGTGTGGAGGAGCACCCAGAGGTGCTGCAGCCCCTCACATGGCCCAGGGGTGGAGGGGGACTGAGGGCAGGGTCTCACTGCCAGGAACCCCTCGGTGGGTACTCACAGCATCCAAAGGGCAGTCCGTGCCAGCCAGGCTGAGGTGGGACAGAGAGTGGCACTGGCGGAGGAGGCTCTGCAGGTTCTGTGGGCAGAGGGGGCTCAGTAGCTCTGCCCAGGACCCTGAACCCCCCCACTCAGCAGCCCTGAAATCCCAGCTCCAGCCTATCTCCTCCCTCCTGCTGAGCCCAAGGGTGAGTCCTGCACAGAGGGACCCACTCACTCATGGGATACATCCTTGCTCCAGGTGGCATCTCCCACCTTCCCACGGGGAGATGCAGAGGGATGTCCCCAGGGCTTCCCCAGCTGCTCCTGGGCAGTCAGGGGGCTGTCTCAGCTGTGACATTCCCATCCCTGGGGTGCTGGAAGGCTGGGCACAGACCCCAGGATACCAAAGCCATCCAAACCATGCTGGGGACAGATCCCAGGCAGTGTCACCCCATCACATCGTGGGTACTCACACTGATGTCATCCCCAGCCAGGGTGCCGGGGTTTCCAGAGAGGTCCAGGTGCCGGAGGGAGAATCCAATGGTTTTGTTATCTGCGAGGGCCTTACACAGTGTGCTCATCCCTGCTCGAATAGAGGGGGAGAGATGGATGGCCACAGGTTCCCTGCACTGGGGAGAGCCGTGGAGCAGAGGAAGGGGCATTACCCTCCAGCTGGGGCAGCAGGACATCACATCCATGAAGATACCCTTTCCAGGGTGTCCATGTGGCCCCTCCAGCCACCCCTTTTTTGCTGGGTTGGCCTGAGAGCTGCTGTGCTCAGCCTCCCAAGGGCACCTGGGCTGTACCTTTGGCTGTGAGCATTGTCCTGGCCAAGCTGAGACTCTGCAGACCCTTGGAACTCTTCTCCAGGTGCCGGCTGAAGGCAGCAATCCCTGATGAAAGAGCAGAGAGCCCTGAATTGCTGTGCCAGCACAGAAGGGTGTCCATCTCACCCTGAGCTACAGCCCCCAGGACAAGGGGCAGCTGCTGGTGGGATCTGGAGCTGAACATCAGTTTTCATGGGTGAAAACTCATCCCAGCCCAGAATTTGGGTACCTCTGTCTTCCAGCTGGTTGCCAGAGAGGTTGATGGTGTGCAGGACAGAGTCAGGATGGCTGCTGAGTGCCTGGGCCATCCTCTGCACAAAGTCACTGTGGGCAGAAGGGTCACCCATCTGAGTGAGGTTTGGACACTTCCAAGAGACACAGCCACCAACCCCATAGCCTTATGGGGACAAGCCACCAGGTCCTGCCTGTGTGGCAGGGCTGGTTCCATCTGAGAAGCCAAGAACATCTCCGAGGGCGGGTGGGGTTCACTGGCCCTCCAGGCTGTGGGGGCCTCTGCTCCCAGTGAGCTTCACACTGTGGAGGGCAGGGAGCCACCAACACCACCCTGGCACATGGCTCCACGGACCCCCCTGCTCCATGCCCTGAGGGAAGCACCACCAGGCTGCCAAGACCCTGCTCATCACTGCCCTGCAACCCCTTCACTTACGCTTTCAACCCGCTGTTTTCCAGCACCAGCTCCTCCAGCGTCACCGATTTGCTGAGCATGTAGAGCAGCTGCTCTGAAATCTCCTGGTTCTGGCAGGGGAGAAGAAAGCCTCTCTGGAAACCTGGCCACCTCTGCTGCTCCCAGCACCGCAGCACCAGCACTCACCAGCTTGAAGTCCTTGCAGGAGAGCTTGGTGAACCACAGGTTGAAGGACAAGGCAGCGACACTCAGCGCCACATCTCTGCAGGGTGACAGGGATGAGGGAGTCAGGGCCGGGATGAGACAAGGGTGGTCCCAAATGGGTGCCCCAAAGCACCCAACCATGAGGTTCCCCAGGACACCCAACCCTGGGATGCCCCAAGACACCCAAACTCAAGGTGCCCCAACACGGTGTTCAACAGAGCAGGATTGGTCCATGAGTTTAAAGCAACCCACAAACACAGCTTATCTTTCCCAGATCATTCCCCTGGGCAAAATAAAATTACTCAAACTATTTGCATGCTTCTATCTAAACCCCTGGGTTTCAAATTCTTTTTAATTCTGGGCTCTCATGTGAAGACACCACAGGTTTTGCTCAAGTGGAAACAAGTTTCTTTTTTACTTCCCCATCCAGAGAAATCTCTAAAAATGTCTCCTTTTTGGCCAGCTGAACACAGATCCTCTGTTCCCCAAAACACTCAGCCCAGAACTCTGATTTGCTGCAGCCTCACCCCAGAGCAGAGCCCTTGTTTCATCTTTCTTGGGATGGAGACACGGCTGAGCCCTACAGGGACAACTCCAGGCACAGCCTGAGCTCACAGCCCCGCTATCAGGTTATTATAAGGTGACAATAAGGTGATAATAAGGTGACAATAAGGTGATAATAAGGTTATAACAGAAGTTTGGGGTGGCTGGTAGGGAGCAGTGCCAAGTTTCGGGGAGGCAAGTGGCACCAGTTGCTTTGCATAGGGAAACACCTGACAGCCACGAGCTGCCAGAAGCCACTGTGACGTTGGGTTTCCACCCCTGTGAGCAGCTCACACAGGCTGATTTAAGAGTTAAAAATGAACAGAGAGGCTGCCTGGGCTCTGGGTTGTTGCCCCGTGGGACAGGGCTTGTGGTGTTGGTGTGGGGGAGCATCAGGCTGCAGATGTGGCGTCCCTGGAGCATGTAAAGTGATAAATGCGTCTAACACGAGCAGAGGAGCGTGTTGGGGCACCCCTGACAGTGACAGGGAGGATGAGGATGAGGGCTGGTGTGGCACAGGACACCACAGGCATCACGGCTGGGGGACTCACCGGCTCTCCAGGTGGCTGAAGTCCAGCAGGTTGAACTCCCGGCAGTCCTGGCTGTGGTAAATGTTGTCCACGTCCTTCCCGGAAAGACAGACACATGGATGAGGCTCAGCACCTGATCCTGGGGATGGCTCAGGTGTCCAGCGCTGCTGGAGGGAGCTGAGCCCTTGGGAACCCTCTTCTGGGGAGCCCCTTGCCTAAACACCAAGCCTAAAACCTCCCCTGGTGCTCTGGGTGGCAGGGAACATGTCCCAGCTTGGCGGGACAGATTGGTGCGACTTGGAGCAATTTGTCCAGAAGAAGGAATGCACCCTGGGCTGGTGGGAGTGAGGGTGTCAGAAGAGGTGGGAGGGGATCAGTGTCCCAGAGGGAGAGGGGTTGGAGCTGGTTCCCAGCAGGGAGCTCCTCTAGTACAGATATTCAGCAGGGTCCCAGATTTTCAGGGATTCTCTTTAGATCACAGTCTGGGAAACAAACTGGTCCAAGGCATCTGACCCCCACCTGCACTTTGATTCCAGCCCACCAAGGAGAAAGGGGCACTCAAGCCAGGCAAAGCTGCAGTTCCCATCTCGGATACCCCTGGGATGTCTCTGGTCCCTGGGATGTCCCAGCCCCACACCCAAGCCAGGTAAAGCTGTGGTTCCCAGCTCTGGGATGTCTCAGCCCCAGCTGCTGTCTGGAGTGGGGGCACCCACAAACATCCTACTTCCCTGACCACCAGGTGACACTGCCACTGCCTCCAGCCCCGGGATGGACCAGCTCACCCACTGGATCTCCTCGCGGAAGGCGAAGCCGTTGTAGTCACACAGAGCAGCGTAGGTCTCCGAAAACCCCCCTGCAAAGAGAAGGCAGTCTTGGGGGCAGGCCTTCCCATGGGAACACGGTGGAGACCTTTGGGGAGGGCAGGAAACAAGAGAGGGATGGCAGGGACTCAGAAGGATGGTGAGGGCTCCCCCCTCCCTCCTCAAAGGGGCCAGAGATCTCCTGTCAGCCCAAAAGCGATCGCCCAGCTTGGGGGGCTGTGGCTTGCTTTGCTTGATCCATGAGGATACCAGGCAAGGCACATTGCTGTGGTGATAACAGAGGTATCCTGCTGCAAACCAGGCTACAGGAAAAGCTCTGCAGCGATGCCATGTGAAGCAAGAGGAAGCATCCACAGCTGCAGGTCCTCACAGGTGGATACTGAACATCCCTTCCTCACAGCTGTCCTGCTGCTTCTGGGGGAACTACATCCCGTCAAACCTGCTCCTGCCCCAGGGGACGGGGTGGGCTGGTGGAGAGCAGACCCCACTAGCAGGGCTCCATCTGTCTGAAGGCACCATGGTGCCCTGCCAGCAGAGGTGGGGGCTGTCAGCAGAGCTCGTGTTGATGGATGCAGGGCTGGAATGGTCCCCAGGCTGCTCCAACCCTCCTGGTCCTGCCTGGAGGAGGTTACAGCAGGACTTACCACAGGGCCCAGGGCTGCTCTGCAGCATTTCCTCCAGCGAGTCCAGGATCTGCTGGATCCTCTCATACAGGCTGGGGGGGGAGTTCTTGAGCAGTGTCCTGGGGAAGGATCAGAGGGATGTGTGGTGGTGGGCCAGGAGAAGAGGGTCTCCACCACTTTATGCTTAGCTGTAACCTTGTGCATAGAGTGGCCAGAAATATTCGGCCAGGAAGCAGGGTCTGGCCTTTTCCCATGTTGCTCCTGCTAAAACACACTATTGTGCACCCATCCTACGTTTGGGACCTTCTAGTTGAAGGTGTCTCTGCCCAACCTTCTAGTTGAAGGTGTCCCTTCTAGTTGAAGGTGTCTCTGCCCATGGCAGCAGGGTTGGAACGAGATGATCTTCCAACCCCGACCATACCAGAATTCTACGATCTGGGACTTTTCTGAGCCACCCCTGAGGAGCAGAAGACCCTTACCCAAGGGATGAGTCTGGAAAGACCTTCTTAAGTGACATGGTGACATGGATAACAACTTGCTCCAAATCATCCAAGGACATGAACCGGAAGGCGTAAGATGCTGCATCTGTTTCTATGACAACCTGAGGGGTCCAAAGGATGAGAGATGCCTGAGCAAGCTGGCAGCACAGAGCGTCCCCAAGCCCCCAGACACGACGGTGACAGCCATCAGCTCCTCGGTGCCAACCCAGCCAGAGCACCATGAGCAGAGGGAAGGCTGTGAGCACCAGGAATTCAGGATAAAATGCATTCAACAGACTGTAACGTGCAAGAATAAGGCATAAACCTCGCCAGAATTCACGCTAAGCTGATGCAGAGGCAGCCCAAGGCAGTGGGGTGAGAACAGCCTTGCCTCTGCCTGCAGCAGCCGCAGCTGAAGGATGGAGGTTTCCTCCCTGAATTTATCTAATCGGGTTTTGAGGCTTTTTTAGCTTTTGGTTCCTACCAGGAAAAAGAAAAAATCCCATGGCAACACTCTCCCTGATTTAATTACATGCTGATTGAGGCGTGGGAGCAAGATGACAATTATCCACCGGCATCGGGCGAGGACGGCGCTTCCGCCGGTGCCCGGGGCTGTGGAGGCAGGAGAGCGTGGGTCTGCCTGCACATTAACAACCCCTGGGCTCTCCATAACACAGTCAGATGTCTCACCCCCCTCGACCCTGAGGTTTCAACCCCCAGCACCCCTCAGTCTCTGACCAGGTTCTTTAGTTCTCTCCTGGGGCTCAGCCTCACAGCCTCCCGAGCTGCAGAAACCCTGTTTAGAGGCTGAGCCCACTGTCACTGGTGATGCTTTAACCATCAGAAGCCAGACAGGAGGTTAACAAGGACCAGACAGGAGGTTAACAAGGACCACAGCCCTGTCTCAGCCAAAACATCCAAGCCAAGGCATCCCATTCCTCTCTTCCATGGTTCCCACTGCCGCATCTGCCCTATGTGCCTGCCTCTCTCTAAGAGGATTAACTGGGTTTAAAACACCGTCCTGCTAAATTTGTCTTCACCTTGGTAAGCCAGCAGCCATTTGTCACCTTGTCCCTGCTGAGCATGGCCAGGTGCTGTCTGCAGCTGCTGGAGAAGAGGTGCAGGCACCTACCCAGCACCCCTGGGTGCCTCCCTGCACCTCCAGCCCCAAGGGCGAGTCCCCCGGTGAGGCCGTAAGAGGATTTATTTTCAGGTGGAAAAGAGATAACCTGTGGAGTTCTCAGGGATCATCACTGGTTACCCTCAACATGCAACGAGGAAGCAGAAGGCCCCCAGACCCTGTGGTGGGCTAGAGATCAGAGTTTCCCATGGGGGAAGGAGGGCACAAGTTTGGGGGAGTGCCTGGGCTGGTTTTGCCCTGGGTGTTGGGGCCACTCACCACACTGGGCTCTTGGACTGTCATCTCCCTCACCTCCAGGAAGCTGAAGCTGCTGTGAACCTGTGGGTGAGAAGAGCAGGATCAGCCCCAGGGCTGATGGAGAGGGGGGACCCAAGGGTGCCCCCCAGCTCCCACCCTTCCCCACGCCTCAAATAGTGCCTGGCCATGCCCCCAGCCCCTGAACCAGACCCCTCCCCTTCACCCTCTCCTCATCCTGCTCCTGAGGGCTTCCCAGCTCCAGCAGCCCAGGTGACCCAGAGGTGACCCACCCCAGTGCCCCAAGGCCCCCCAGGGCTGTACCAGGCACAGGGTCCCCACACTCACCCTCACCGGCAGCATCACCGGCAGCACATACGCTCGCCAGGGCGTCAGCACCTAGGCAGGGGGACACTGGTGTGACAAGGGACAGTGGTGACCTGGGAGCCACCCCTGTCCCTCACTGCAGCCATGAAACAGCTGCCTGTGGAAACCAGGAAAGCAGGAACCAGTCCAGACTCCGCACATACCAAGATGAAGTCGTCATACTTGGACTTCACCTGCAGCTGGACACTCAGCACCAGGAGCACCTTCTTCGTGCCCAGGAGGGTGGTGATGCCCTCTGAAAAGACCAACATCCACGTGAAATGAGGTGGCTGAAGTCACCTTGGTTCTCTTCCACACACTCTGCTGCCCCTGGGGATGCTGTCCCTGCATACCCACCCAAATATACTCCTCTCCATCCACGCCAGAAAGTCACACCCTGGTTGCTCTCATCTAAACCACACACTTCACTAGCTGTGGGTCTCATTTGCTACTCGAATGATGCACCCACTTCCCCATCACCTGCCACAGCCTTGGCTGAGCATGGGGCTTTGGGGTCGTTGGTTCACCCTGCCCGTGCTGCCTCGCTCACCGGGAGCTGGCACTGAGTGACAAGAGGGCCCTGATTTCTCTCATTTCCTTCCCAGATTTACCACTGGGGGTCAAATGGGCACCCAATTCCTTCCTCCCCATGGAGCAGCCAGGGTGGTCACATGTACCAACCTCCCCATGTCCACAGACCAGTCTCTCCCACGGTCACTGGACCAGTGTGGGTGTTGCTCCTGCCTTGAGTGTCACCTCCCCACCTGTCCTGATTCCTGCCTCCCATGGGGAGAAACAGGACCAGAACCACAGTTGTCCATTGCCATGTGAAGCAAACCAAGCTTCCACAACACCACCAAGCCCTGTGGTGCAGTGGCTTGAGCCCCCACAGCCCCACCCTGGTAGAGCTGGGACCTGAGGCTGCAGGGACGCTGTGACCCAGCTCCTTCCCACCCCACTTCAATCCTCGGTGGGGCTGATGAGGCTGAAGGACCCCAAGATCTCTGTTGTCTTTTGCTTTTCAATCAGATGAGAGAAGTCTGGGAGCAGTGGCACTTCACACACCCCCTGTGCTGGGCTGCAGGCTGTGCCTCCCTGGGGAGCTGCCAGGGACCCCCGACTGGCTGGGAGAACCCAAGCCCATGGGAGTGAGGAGCACCAAGCTGTACCCACAAACTAGGCAGCCTGAGCTGTGCAGAACCCCATCCTTGAGGAGACAGGTTATCTGGGGATGCTTTTGGTCCAAACTGAATCCTCAGGCATATGAGTTCTGGGGACAAGAGCAGCCCCCAGACACCTCTTGGACTCCCCTGAACCTCAGCTGCTGCTGCTGAGGACCCTGAAAGTGGCTCTGCCAACCCCAGCACGGCAAATTGGGGCTGAGCAGGCCCCGTACGGGCGCCTTCCATGTGGCAGCGATGCCCCGGCAGCGCGGCGGCGGGCGATGCTTACCTTGCAGCTCAGCAGGGATCCCTCCGGGGGACGCAGCCATGGTTGGGACCGCGGGGTCACCTGCCGGGGGATGCCGGTGTCAGGGCAGCATCCTTGGGCGCCGCGGGAAAGGCGCCCCGCTGGGAGGAAGCGCTGAGGTTACCAACCGGCAGCGCCGCAGCCTCGGTGCCTCCTCCCCCTCCCGGTGCCTCTTCCTGCCCCGTCAGGCGAGATTTACCGCCTGAGCAAGAGAAGCGAAATGAAAGCGACGGTGCCCACGGCCCACCGGCCCCGCCGGGAGGAGGGGGCGTCACTACCCAGCGCCCTTCTCCCCCTGCATGGCATCCCCTGGCTGAGCAGGACACCCGGCCAGAGCCTCCCAGCCCGAAGCAGTAGCATCTCTCCCATAGTTCCAGCCTTCCAGGGTTGAGGATCCATGGCCTGTCCCCATCCTGCAGCCCCCCGAGGTGCTTCATGGGGATATATTTCTGCCTGAAGATCGCTGGTGAGTGGGGAGAGGGCAGCTCTACCCTTCACAGCACTGGGTGCTCAGCCCAGCCCCATCACCTTGCATTGGGAATCTGCAAGGAGAGTTAATGGAGATGGGTGCCGGTGCCCATGGCTGAAGGCTGAAGGCAGGGCTTTTCCAGAGCAGAAACACCCCAGGCACCCTGCCAAAGTGACTGAATTGCTGTCCCAGAGCAAGGACAAGAAGCAGAAGCCAGGTGACTGCCTTGGAGCAACAGGACTCAGTGCATCAACCACTCCACTCTCCCAGGAAGGCTCTGGACCAGGCAAAAAGCCAAAAGCACTCCAGGACAGAGCAGAAAGCTGTCCCATGCTGTGCTGCAGGACTTCCCCAGACTCAGTATTTCCTGCTGTTGGTGCAGCTTGGCCCCACCAGAGACTCAGGACAAGGTTCTGAGGGAGCAGGCTGAGCTGCTCTCAGTCAGCAGCCCTGTGACCAGCATCCACAGGGATTGAGGGTGCCAGCTGCCTTCTCCCCCTAAATTGCCCCTTTTGACAAATGTCCAAGCTCCAGGCTGCAATCTGCCAACCAGGGACTCACTGAGTTTTCCCAGGGGTGGAATAACTCAGGAGAAGGTGGTCCCTGGAAGGGCTGGGTGACGTTGCCCTCCTGCCACGTGCACCTGGGGCCACAGCACTTCTGAAACCACCTTCTGTGAGAAGGCAGGAAGTCATCTCCCTGCAGGGACGGCGTCTTCACAGAGCCCAACCACAACACAAGGCAGCTCTTCTCAAGGACGTGGCTGGGGAGAACGTGGCTCAGGGCAAGGACCAACCTCTGCCGGCCGAGGCACCTCCTCAAGCCTCCCGAGCTACATCAGCAGATGGATGAACACCAGGAAGGGCAAAGGGTGTTCACCACCCAGTGGAGACAGCAGCCACCAGGAACAGTCCTGCCTGGTTCCATGTTTTTTCCAGGATGGAAGGAGGCCAAGCTACTGGTATCTGAACTTCTCAGAAAGGGCACCACATCCCAGTTTTGTCGTGCAAGGATATTAAGGACACACAGAGAGCTGTCCCATTGCACCCACCAGAATGGCCCCTATCAAAGCTTAGAAACACAAAGGAGCTCCTGGCAAGCTGCATTCCAAGCTAATTCCTCAAAATACTGGATCCCACAAGCTGGGACATTCTGAGCATCAGAATATCTACCTCAGGAGTGGGGCAGAGGAAGACATCCATGTGCACAAGTGTTCCCTGCCTCTGTGAAAGCCCAGGCACATCAGGATGTCCAGAGCAACCCACAGAGAAACCCATCCCCTGTGTCCGGCTGTGGACTCTGCTTTGTAATGTAAGAGGATTTAGTCCCTCTAACCTGGCAGAGCTCTCAACCTCTGGAAGCCAACCAAGCCTTTGGCAGGCTGCAGCAGTCACACAGAGCTGGTCTCAGCCCTCTCCATCCTGACGCTGTTCTCCAGCGTGCTCCCAGGACAGCAGCCCAGGCGCCAGGGATGGCAGCCAGGCCAAGCAACTGGCAGAGGCAGTGATGTTCCTTGGATCCATACCAGCTCTGGCTTTTCACTCACAGCCCAGGACACAGCTTTTCCAGCACTGATAAGAGCTCTGGGGTTGAGCCAGAAGTGTTCTGTCCACATTCGGGCTTTGGGTGCTGCCCTGGATGTTTCCTAAGGAGCAGGCTGGGATGTTGCTCTACATCTCTCCAGAACAGCTCCAGAAGCCTTGCAAGAGGCACACAAGCAGAGATCCCTGCCCAAGGCAGGAGCCACAGCTCAAATCAAATAAAACCCAGTCTGTGTAACAGGGCTATTGACTGAGCAAGCACAGAGAAACCAGGTCAACTGAGCAGATCACAAGGTAACATGCCAGGCTGGGGAAGAAAGGAGAATGACCACAAGGTGACAGCTCCCATCCTCAATAAACCCTTGCTGAGGTCTCTGGGGAAAGTTCAAAAAGCAGTCCACAATCAAAAAGTTACTTAGGGATCATTCCTCAGATGTTATTTCCTCAGATAAGCACAGAAGCTGCTGGTCTCACCTCCCCAGGCCTGCTGCGGCCATGGGTTGTGCCAGGGAATTCAACACACCACCAGCAGATCAAAGACTACTTGGGACCAACCACCTGTAGTCTCTGGACAAATACACCTCTTGGCTCTCTTCCTCCCAGCCCACCATCACGCTGTTCACACACAGCCATCTCCTCTCAACTCCAGGAGAGCTGCAGCCCCCCCTGCCTTGGGGTCACCCAGACCTGGGTACGACAGCACGACCTGCTGCACATGGAGCACTCACACAGACCAAGGGAGGTCTCTGCTAGAGCACAAGAAGCGTCCAACCTGCCCAGAACTCCAGAGTTCCACCTCCAAGCAGCTTTTCTCAGCAAACTGAAGGACTACCTTTCAGGACCAGAGATAACTGGTCACCGAGCATCTCGTGAAAACTAATCTAGCAACTCTCGTGCTGGTTACAGTTTTCTAAGTAATGTCATTTGCAGCGACTCCTGTACCAACAGTACCAGGTATTATCCTAAACCTGCAGTGTGCAGCTTCCTGACTGCCTACAGCTGGCTCCCTAAGCTGCTGTCACAGACAACTAAAAAAATACACCACAGACACTCCACCCAAGTGCCAGTCCAGTTTTCCAGAATGAAACGGAAATGACATTCCTCTTAACTAAACCATCAGGATTTAAACTCACAGCCAAAACAAAGAGAAGCAACATCTACTCCCGAGTTACTCCGAGCTCAGTTGTAAACACTGATGTTCACACTTTACATCCTCTCTCCACTACACACAGGGAATCACCCCCCAATTTAAGGGCATGGACAGGTACCTTGTGTTCAGCACGGAGCAGAGGGAACACCTGCAGCCAGAGAGGAGCCAGTCCCTGCAGCATCCTTCTGGGAAGAGCGGCTTTTCCATCTGGAGCTGGCTGCCAGGTCACGCCGTTGATGCACACAAAGAAAGCAGCCAGGGAGCACACGTGTTAATCCATTATTATTTATTAGCTGTACAGCAGTATATTCTCCTTCCCAGCTTTCAAACCCCATTACATATTTTATAACAGTATTTTTTTTTCCCATGTTGGCTTCCTAAAATAATGAAAAATATCACACAGTACAGCTAAGTACAAAAATGCATCAACCTAGAGTCTGATAGCTAAACTGATAGCTCTCTTAAAAGCGATACATAGAAGAAAAATTTGTTTGAAATCAGCAAGACTGAGGCTCTATAAAAAGCTTACATATTTTAACATGTGACATTTTCATATACAGGCATCATTTGTATTTCACATTATTCCTTTTTTTGTCTTTATCAGAGATTCAAAAATTGTAGAATTACTGACCTATTAATAAAATTTCCTGGCCCAGGTTTTGAGGGCTGCAGTGACCCACTTATAAATCACCACTTCTGTCTTAACATAGGATTCATAAACACAAAATACAACTACAAGATAGAGCAAAGAAAATGTAGTCGTGAAATTATAACTCAAAAAGAAGGTTAATTATAAATGTTTCAGATTGGTTGGATGGTCACATCCAGAGGGCAGTGGTCAACGGCTCAGAGTCCTGATGGACATCAGTGACAAGTGGTGTCCCTCAGGGGTCCATACTGGGACCAGTGTTATTTAGTATCTCCATTATCGAGTGCACCCTCAGCAAGTCTGCAGGTGACACCAAGCTGTGTGGTGCTGTTGACACTCCTGAAGGATGGGATGCCATCCAGAGGGACCTGGACAAGCCTGAGAAGTGGGCACACGGGAATCTCATGAGGCTTAACAAGACCAAGTGCCAGGTGCTGCATCTGGGTCAGGTCAACCCCCCATATCAATGCAGGCTGGGGGGTGACAGATCGAGAGCAGCCCTGCTGGGAAGGACCTGGGGGTGCTGCTGGGTGAGAGGCTGGACACAGCCCAGCCATGTGCACTCACAGCCCAAAAAGCCAACCGTGTCCTGGGCTGGACCAAAGGCAGCGTGGGCAGCAGGGAAAGGGAGGGGATTCTGCCCCTCTGCTCTGCTGAGACCCCGCCTGCAGTGCTGTGTGCAGCTCTGGGACCCCAGCACAGGAGGGACACGGACCTGTTGGAGCGAGTCCAGGGGAGGCCACAAACATGATTAGAGGGCTGGAGCACCTTTCCTATGAGGGAAGGCTGAGAGAGTTGGGGTTGTTCAGCCTGGAGAAGGGGAGGCTCTGGGCTGACCTAATTTGTGGCCTTCCAGAACCTGCAGGGAGCCCACAAGAGAGCTGGAGAGCATGGGTGACAGGACATGGGGCAATGGCTTCAAACTGCCAGAGGGAAGGGTTAGACTTGATATTAGGAAAGAATTCCTCCCTGTGAGGGTGGTGAGGCACTGCCACAGGCTGCCCAGAGAAGCTGTGGATGCCCCATCCCTGGAAGCATTCAAGGCCAGGTTGGACAGGGCTCAGAGGAACCGGGGATAGTGGAAGGTGTCCCTGCCCAGGGCATGGAGGGTAGAACTAGATGGACTTTAACATCCCTTCCAACCCAAGCCAGTCTACGATTCTAGGAAATACCAGGTTTTTGTGCTTCAAAACTAGATTTCATGTGTGGGTCTCTCTTGTTCTGCAAGCAATAATCTGGATACATCTCTTCTCTACGTTATCAACAGTTTTTCCAACA